TGTTGAAATTTGTGATCCAATGAGAGCATAATTCCCCACCAATGACTAAGTAGTTACTGAAGAGGATCCAAAATCTACTTTGTTACTAGGAGATGGTAGCAATGTGTTTATACCTAGAAATGAGGTTAAAGTATGTAAAAAAGTAATTGATTGGATATGAAAATGGTGCATACTTTTTATAGTAGAATAAAGAATTATATACCTTGGACTTGATTTTTCTTACAATATGTGTTAGCATAAAGTTGAAGAGTAGAAATTTTGATGATGTCTCAAAGTCAAGTCTCGAGTGCTCTTATTGCAGGAAGATCTTCAAGAAGACCTGTTTTTATACTAAAGCTTTTGTAATTTAGTAGATTTATGTATAGGATGCATTTTATATTTGATTCTATGTATTGTTTGTCTTATGTTACGTTAAAATTTATTTTAAATCAGAAAATCCCATTTTATACTCAAGATAATCAATTATCAAATTATAATAATCGATTATCACTAATCAATTATGACTTGCCATCATTGATTATCATGAGCAATTATGAGAATTTTTAAGCATAATCAATTACCATAATTGGATAATTGATTATCACACGTTAATTAGTTGACAACGAATTTTTGGAGCTATCCTTGAGTGAGATCTCTATAAATTAGATTGAGACTGTCATTCTAAAATACGAAATACAAGATACAAAATAAGTGTATTTCGAAAAATCTTATCTGTAGTGTGCGGTGATAAGTGTTCTAGGGTTGGCTGAACCCTTGTGTTGTGGCTTTGAGAACTTGGCGTGTTGGCATAGAGCGCGAACTTTCACAGGGAGTGTGATTAAGTGATGTTTTTATTGTTGGGTACAAACAAAGTCCCACATCGGATAAAGTAAGAGATGTACATGGGTTTATATACACATAAGATACGTCTATTGGTAAGAGGCCTTTTGGAGTGGTACCAAAAGCAAATCCGTGAGGGCTTGGCCCAAAGCGGACAATATCTTACCAGTGTGGAGATCTATATGTGTTTGTGTGTGTGTTGTCCCTCCCTACAGTTGTTGGCATAGAGCGAGAACTTTCACAGGGAGTATGATTAAGTGTTGTTGTTGTTTCTGAGTTGAAAGCCTTCAAAGGAGGTGTTCATCCCTTGTGCATTACAAGGGAAATGACTTTCATCTCTTGGGGTAACAAGAGAGGTGTTCTAACCTTCAACTTTTTTATTTTCTTTGTGATTGTAACAGTTTGTTGGTTTGTGCTAGTGAAACGTTAATTCTCAGTTGAGATTAACAACTGGATGTAGGATCTTTGTGATCCGAACCAGGATAAAAATTACTTGTGCAATTTTCATTCTTCCTTACTCTTTAAATTTTTTTAAATTGTTTAAAGGAATTTTTATTTACGAGAAAATTTATTTAAAGAACGATTTGCGATAAGAAACCAATTCACCCCCCTCTTAGTTTGTTGCACGCGTTAACCATTTTGCTACGCCGCTCTACAAGATGGTCTACCACGAGGTTTCTTTGCAACTTTACAACCATCTATTGTTGAAGTATCTTTTCTCTTTTGGCGAAGCAAAGATTATGACAAGTTTATATTATCCATGAATGTAGGTGTCACCGTGTTTTGCATAGAAAAATTGGTGCTAGTAGACACAACTAAAAAAAAGTAGAAAAAATTAAATCAATAGGTTAAAGATGGAAAAACTCAAATAAATAAAAAATAACAAAACTATATTTTAATTCATTAACAACTAAAAAAGTGTCTACTGGAACAACACAATTTTGTATTATGGTTGCGACATTGGACAAGGGTGATGATCTTGCATTGAAAGTGTCCAAAACATTCTTTAGATCTTGGAATAACATTTGTATCTTGTGTTTCTCTTGCATCAACATGACATTTTGTTTATCTAATAGTATGTTCTGTTTCTTAGTAAATATATATTGGTCCACAATTCCCTCCAAACTCAGCAAAAATTAAGAACGTGAAAAGTGAAAAGTGAAAAATTAAGAACGCTGATTCATTTGTCAAAAATTAAAAAAAATGATAACAACAAAAAGACTGAAAGATTAACGCGAGTAACCTCGTTTGCAGGTGAATCGACAAAGAGTGTCGAAGCTTCGTTGCGAAAGGTGGTGCACGTTTGAAATAATTTGTTGCAATATAGATATCGATCCACAATGAAGGCAATAACAGCCTCAGGAACATTACCCCTCACACAAGTCATCTCTCTGAATGCATTCAACAAAAATCGATTCCAAAAAAAAACAATTGAATCCAATCAAATACTAGGGGACTATCAGANTAAAAATTACTTGTGCAATTTTCATTCTTCCTTACTCTTTAAATTTTTTTAAATTGTTTAAAGGAATTTTTATTTACGAGAAAATTTATTTAAAGAACGATTTGCGATAAGAAACCAATTCACCCCCCTCTTAGTTTGTTGCACGCGTTAACCATTTTGCTACGCCGCTCTACAAGATGGTCTACCACGAGGTTTCTTTGCAACTTTACAACCATCTATTGTTGAAGTATCTTTTCTCTTTTGGCGAAGCAAAGATTATGACAAGTTTATATTATCCATGAATGTAGGTGTCACCGTGTTTTGCATAGAAAAATTGGTGCTAGTAGACACAACTAAAAAAAAGTAGAAAAAATTAAATCAATAGGTTAAAGATGGAAAAACTCAAATAAATAAAAAATAACAAAACTATATTTTAATTCATTAACAACTAAAAAAGTGTCTACTGGAACAACACAATTTTGTATTATGGTTGCGACATTGGACAAGGGTGATGATCTTGCATTGAAAGTGTCCAAAACATTCTTTAGATCTTGGAATAACATTTGTATCTTGTGTTTCTCTTGCATCAACATGACATTTTGTTTATCTAATAGTATGTTCTGTTTCTTAGTAAATATATATTGGTCCACAATTCCCTCCAAACTCAGCAAAAATTAAGAACGTGAAAAGTGAAAAGTGAAAAATTAAGAACGCTGATTCATTTGTCAAAAATTAAAAAAAATGATAACAACAAAAAGACTGAAAGATTAACGCGAGTAACCTCGTTTGCAGGTGAATCGACAAAGAGTGTCGAAGCTTCGTTGCGAAAGGTGGTGCACGTTTGAAATAATTTGTTGCAATATAGATATCGATCCACAATGAAGGCAATAACAGCCTCAGGAACATTACCCCTCACACAAGTCATCTCTCTGAATGCATTCAACAAAAATCGATTCCAAAAAAAAACAATTGAATCCAATCAAATACTAGGGGACTATCAGAATCACAATCAAATACACATATCACAACCTTTTATCCTTCAAAATGAAAGTTTAGGAAGAGAAAATTAAGAAAATATTGTTAGATATTGTGAGAGAGAGTCTTATAGACTTAAAAGGAAGAGGGAAATCCAAAAAGATTCCAATTTATAATATAGCTTCCCAATTTCACACGTATTCCTCAATTTTTATATCCATTTTCATTAAGGTTTTTCCTTATTTAACAACCTCCTAAGTTTTTATCTATCTTTTGACTTATCAAAATGTTTATCTATAAAATGTTTTAGGATTAATTATTTAATTTTTTATTTTATCAACTTATTATTATTATTATTATTATTATTATTATTATTATTATTATTATCATCATTTTATAAATATAAATAATTAAAATTTCAAATAAAATTACTTTATAAATATTTATATTATTTGAGAACTAAAAGATATTACTACATTTTTAAATAGATTGACTTAATAAACACTATTGAACTCTGGTAAAAACAGTACACTTTAAAAATATAGAATTTTAAAAAATATTAAAATAATATAATTTAAAACCAAAAATAACAAATAATCAATACTACAATAAGTCAAGTCAAGCATGGTATGAAGAAGAGAAGAAAAATATGAAAAAGTGAAAAACTTTGGCTAAGCTAAGAAGAAGGAATAGATAATAAAAATTGGACCTTGTAGTTTTCTCTATTTTTTTTCTACAAATTTTTTTGTTATAACTGATAAATGTTTATGATAAAAGATAATTAGGGAAAAATATATCATTAGATATTTTATTTGATATTTTTAAATAATTTCCTTATTTAACTATATCAGTATATATCAAAAGATAATATTTGTTAAATCTTTTTGAATCTATGAAAGATCTTTCAATTGTTTTTAGGTCTCCAAATCAATTAAATATATCTTAAAAAATATTGGATTATTTAGAAGATAATTTGAGGAAATGATTGTAAGACTTAAGAAAAATAAATATCTTGAAAGGTGGTAGTAAGAAAAAATAATTAGTGTAGAAGTAAAGCTAGCACTATAACACCCGGATTTCTGAGATGTCATATGTTATTGAAAATCGGTAAAACTCAAAATTTATCATTGCACGAAAACGTACTTAAAGAAAACCTTATCCAATTATATTATTTAGAGTAATAAAATAACGAAGGAAATAATCCAATCATATTGTCTTAACTTGTAAAACCAAATAACTTTAAATGAATCTCATGTTATTCTTCATCCTCTCTTGAATCAATCATGCCTCTAAAACATCTGTAACATTATTTGCTCACGTACGATCATCATTCATAATTTCATTCACAAACACAAACATGTACGAGGTAAGCTAACAATAAAACAATCATAACAACAAGATACATACATACTGATTATATCAACCATAATCAAACACCCAACAAGATACATATTCTGAGTAGCCTAAAAATAAATTTTACAAAGCCTTTTAAAAAAAATATTTTGTTAAAAAATTGGTGAGAATAAATTTTGTGATGTTACTTACTACAAAATTAATTTTTAAAATTCAAAATACCACTCAAATACGCAAGTCATTGGTTACTCGTACTAATGAGTACAGTACCGAGTACGATGAAACTTACTTTACAGAGAATGATAGAGTGCGGGTGTTTCAGTTATTGCTATCTAGGCTTCTGATCCAACGGCTGGTTTTCAGTTTCTCACGGTAACGTGTTAGCCACGACCATTTTGCTCCGTTAGATAAGTTTTCGGAAAGTCCTATGATCGTCTTCTAGAGATTTCTTTCTTACGAACCGGTTTTCGGACTCGAGACGTCGTGGGTCGTTGTTCTTTCTATTTTTGCTTCTCAGGTGAGTAAGGAACTCATCTCTGCATATTCGTTCTTTCTCTTTTCGCTAGAAAATTCAGTGCTGTGGTTTTTTAGTTTGTTTTACTTCTTGATTGGATTGAGATTATTTTAGTTTTGGGGTTAACATAACATTCATTTGATATTGTGCATACTGTTATTGTTCAACTGAGATTACAATTTTATTTGTTTTTGTTTGCATGCGAGATTTGGTTGTGCCATCGGTTTACAGAGTGTTAGTAACCATGGAATGTTCTTTCTGATTTGCTCCCGAAAGAGATTTGTGTTAAACCAATGTGTAGTTGTTGCTAGGAAAACAAACTTGTGTTCAAAGTTGGAAGTAAAACTTATTGTTTGGCCTTTAACTTTGATTGTCAGTGAAGAATCTTGTGTGGAATGATCAAGGACGGATTGAACCTGTAAAATCACTTTCTTATTAGTTAATAATACCTCTGGGTCTTATCTTTCTTTAAGTTCGATCTTTTCGCTCTTCATTCTTTTCGGTATTCAGTTTTCTAAGTTTTCTCTGTTTACTGCGAAGATGCGTAGTTACTCAAGTTAATTTGAGGGGAGATTCAGTTTTATAAGTGTATAAATGAGAGAAGTGTTGGGAATACACATTTATTAGAAGTAAGAAAGTTGATTACGAATACACATTTGGGTTGGAGGCATCATCACAACGTTTTGTGGGTAAGATTCAGGTTTCATTAGTGATTAGTGATGTATCTCTAGATAAATTCTTTTTCGAAAATCTATTTGTAGTTTCATTTTGAAATACTCACCTATGTATGGTAATCTTAATAGATTTTTTCCTCGGCGGATTTTTAAGAGAGGTCCAGATGTTTCTTAATCATGGTTTCAGTGTTATTTAAGCATAATGGTGATTTAATTTCATGATTAGTTGATAACACTGCAGTCTTCATACGATACTATCTCGGCAACCTTCATGTACAAAAATCAACTTCTTACTCTTAATTGGTTATGTTTGAGGATCAAGAATGTTATTGATAAACTCTGTTTTGTATGATTAACTTCTTAAAGGTATTGAAGGCAACCAGAAGTTACTGAGATTTTCTTGTCACCATCTTCCCTCGCCCCGACCTGTATTATTTTTAACCATCATGTCATGCAAAACCTTTGTAGTGATTTTATGACATGGTGCAGTAGTATCTTGTGCTATTGCTGACTAGAATCAGGTTTATATTTTAATTCGTATACGTTTTGCAGTGATTTCAACTGTGGAAGAACAAGACTAAACTAGAGTGAAAGTTTAGCCCTTGTGGGGCTACGTATCTATTATGTTTTCTGGGGTTCTACAATATATATTGTTCTCCATGATTTGGCTTTTTGGGTTGTTCCATTGTGCATATCAGATTTGGTTGTTGTTCTTCTGGTTTGTGCATATTAGATTATACCAAACAATTATGAAGCATAAGCAGCTCAAGAAATATAGCTTGCATTTTCTCAATATTCTGGGTTCTTTTGTAAAATGAGCATATGTTGGTAAGTAAGTAATTTGCTATAGCATGTAAATGTGAGATTTTTTGCAATCTAATACTTGAAGGAAATAGAAGATTGTGTGGAGGGAAGAAACATATGTCTTTGTGTGAAAAGACATTCCCCACTGATATTTGAATTTCTTTAACTAATTCTTGTGTGAAAAATAGTGCTGAATTTATGAGGAAGCTTTCATCTGAGTACTAAGATGCACAACCTTTGTGTTTCAGGCAGAAAATGGGTTTCTGGACTTTTTTAGAAGGCGTTTTGCTCTTTGCAAATGCATTGGCAATTTTGAATGAGGAGCGGTTCCTTGCTCCAAGAGGATGGACTTTGGCAGAAATGACAGGGCCTAGGAGGAGTTCTCTTAAAGGGCAAATAGTAGGACTCATATATGCTTGTCAATTCTTGAGACTTCCTCTAATTCTCTTCAACGCTATCTTTATAATTGTGAAGCTGGTCTCTGGATAACATAATAGAGTGGCATTGAAGCTCTGTGCATGATATTTACATTTTGTGTTCTGTGAATATTTGCAATCGTATAAGTTCAATTCTGATGTATAATGAACAGAGTAAATCAGTTGTATCAGTTAAGTATTGAATCTGTCTTGATTATCATTCTCAATTCCCTTTGAAATTCTGATTTCTTTTGGTCCTATTAACACGTGGCATATAAATAACTAAGCTAGCATAGATTGCTCAAGTGCTATTTTACATTTCTTCTCTTTTTTTCTTTATAATACAAGTTTATTTTTTTGAAGTGATTCTATGGTTGCAAAAAACTCATTTTCCAACTCTTCAAGCAATTTTGTTCTTCTAACACGTGTGGAAGCATGCAAGAGTTAGTGTGAAATTAGTTTGAATGTGCCAAGAGTTTAAGGTGAGTTAGAAGTTTTTTCATTGGATAAAAATAAAAAAGAGATAAAAGGATCTATAAGCTTATTGTCTTAAGCTTTTTGGTTGAAAATGGTAATCTGGTTTCTTATATAACTCATTGGTACTGAATTTTGAGTGTCTCTCCTCTAAAAAAATCTCATAGTGATATCAAAACTAATGGTTAAGTCACTGAAATCCATTCTTCAAACAGGGTTTTATCATTGGGAAAGGTATCTGCTTGGATCATAATTGCATTGTAAAGCGCAATCACGGTGACCAAAATCATAAACAACCAGACAACAAAAGACATGACCAAAAAACCCAGCACATATAAAACATTTATTCTGTGTATTTAATTGAAACAAGGTAAGACTACAACATATTCTAAACTTCACATCACCAGTAAAACTTAACAGCATAACAAATGGATGGAAAAAAAAACTGAAATCTATGTATGTAGCCCTCCAAATTCATTCAACTGGGATCATAACCTCATTAGTCCTAAACATAGGAATTGTCCAAGGTGGGTTGTACCTGGCCAACAAGTGATCCCCAACCACCTTAAACCCATCAGTCTCCAAACTCACCTTCAGCTTCTCCACCTTCTCCTTCACCACTTCTTCTGATGCCACACCTCCAAACTTCACCACCCCATATTTCCTGTCACCCTCTTCTCTTATCACAACCCTCTCATCAGTAGGTTTAGGTGCCTCCTCAGCTTTCCCATACAGAGCTGGCAAAATAAACTGCATAGTCACCATCTTGTTCTTCTTCCCATCTTCAACACCGCCATCTTTTGTCACAACTGGCGCTGTCATAGCAATCTTCTCACCACCCCCACCACTGTCCATGGTTATAACTGGTGCAGTCATGGCAATCTTTTCAGGCTTTGTGTTCTGGGGTTTCCCCAAAGCACCAATGTAATTGGCCAAAACCATAAAGCCACCATCTTTGTTTTCCTTGAACTGTGATGGGTCATATGTGACTTCTGCCACTACACAGGGTGCATATTTGCGGATTTCGTACTCCCTTGTGGATTTGATCACTTCGTATTTTGGGGTCTCCACGCTGATTTTTCCAAATACTAAACCCATGAAGGAGAAAGAGTGAAAAGGGGTATGCTGAGACTTTGGAAATAGCAACGACTGATTTGGATGATGATGATGATGATAGGGTATGGCATTGGATCGTATATATAATGAAGAGCAGCATGTGATGGAGGCATTTGAACTCTTGATTATTTGCGTAAGGGACATGTTTCTTCGAGTTTCTTTCGAAAGGGGTTAACACATTTGGAATTTTGCTCGCCAAAATTAATGGTTGCGATTCTGCTACGATAGTCTGCAATTGTGGCCACGGTTTGTCCACAGTCAATTTTTTTAAGGTTTTGAAGGTTTTTTATGTTCTTTAAGTTAAATATGTATTTATTGGTACATTTAATTGGTCGTCTAAAAATGAAAGTCAACAGTAATTTAAATATATTACGTCTTTTATTATTAAGGAATTTAAGTTTAAATATTTTTCACTAATTTTAAACTCTACTTTTAAAACACTTAGGTTAAAACAATAAATTTTCTTTTTCAAAAGAAAATTTAACATTTTAAAATTTTCAAAATGAAATCATTTTGATTCCCTTTTAATACATAATTTAATTAACAGAAAATATTTTGATATCATGTTTAACAACATTGGTCACTTACTAATGTAATATTAATAACCAAGTTTAACGTCTATCACAAGTTTTGATTTTGTTATTTAAACACGATTATATTCTTATTTTTAACTTTATAATTGAACTTTTTTTTTTCAGATATAGTGCAACGTTATGGCTATTTACCATCCATATGTTGTATTTTATCTGTAATAGCTTCAAGAAGAAAAGTTTGAATTTTTTTTTCAAGTTAAGAATTTTTTTTTCTTCAAATATGATTATGTTCATATTTTACATACAAGATTGGTTTTTTAAACACAAAAATGTAGTAACAATTTTTTTTAGTGATATTCACAATGGAAAAACAGTAACGAAGCAACCGTTTAAAAATTTAATATAACATTTATTACAATACAAATAATTATCACAGAATAAAAGTAAAATTACAATAAAATAAATATATATAAAAATAATAATATAAATATTTTAATTTTTATTGATTTTTATAATTATACAATACCATTATTTTCGGCTGTTGTTTAATAATGCTTAATATGGACAGTTCTTTATAAATCATGGAAACTAAATAGTTAGTTAATGAATATAAGGGTAAATTATGTCTTTTGTTTTCAATAAAAGAATTTAAATAGGTTTCTTTTATTTTTTATGTGTAATTTGATTTTTATTTTAAAAATTTTAATGCAATAATATAATTAACGTTAGTATTATCCTAACAATATTAAAGAGGTACTATCCTTACAATATTAAAGAGATATCATTTGTCCGTGATTTTTTTTAATTTTTTAATTCTTTTAATTTTTTTTAATTTTTAAATTCTTTTAATTTTTTATTTCTTTTAACCTTTTTAAAATAAAAAATTTATCATGTGTCAAGTTGATAACGTGTCTCGTAACAATGATAATATAATATGGCCATGGTTATGTCAATGTTACACAAAGTCTTTTGTCTTATTCTAAATTTGATTTTTTTATTTTATTTTAATTAAATTCAATTTGTTTTAAAAATTGAACAATTTTGTTTTATTTTAAATTAAAATCAAATTGATATCTTTATTAAAAAAAGTTAAATTTATTTAAATTTATATTTTAAATTTGATTTTAATTTAAAATTATTTTAAACTTGTTAATATAAAATAATAATATAAAATAATAATATAAAATAATAATAGAAAATAAAATCAAAATTAATTTTAACCGACAAACATACTAAATTTGGTTATCAATTGTATTTCATAAAATAAAATAAATTTATTATCTTTCAATTATTTTAGAATTTATATCTTACGATAGTGTACAAATATACTTAAAGAAAAATTTATCCAATTACATTATTTGGAGTAATAAAATAATGAAGGAAATACTCCAATTATATTGTCTTAATTTTAAAAACAAAATAGCTTTAAATGAATCTTAAGGTTATTCTTCATCCTCTTTCGAGTTAATCACGCCTCTGGAACATTTGTAACATTATTTGCTCATGTATAACACATTATGCAATTATCGTCGATAATTTCATTCACAAACACACAAACACAAACATGTATGAGGTAAGCTACCGATAAAACAATCATAACAACAAGATACATACATACTGATTATATAAACCATAATCAAACACACAACAAGATACATACCTTTTTATTATACCAACCATGATCAAACACCTCATACATATTAGTAATAACAATATGATTCTCCATCCTCTAACATAAACAATTCAATCATATTGAATTACTCGATCCTCGATCCTCGATCCCCGATCCTTGAAGTTTGATCATCGATCCTTGATTTCTAACCCTTAATGTCATCACTAACATCTCACACATAGACCTTTGCTTTATCCACTCATTATCACCCATGCTAACTACTTACTATAACCATTATAGTAACACCATTATCAACATAACATAACATGAAGCATCTCGAGTACCATGATCATCATCATAGATACACCACCATCATGACTATCCTAGTCATGAACAACACCATGAGCATCACCATACATAATATGATAGTCGAAAGAGTCTGTCTCACTCATGTACCCTACCTAACCGACTGTAGTCGCTCCTACAACCCACCTATATCCTTCCCTACAAGACATTTGTAGTCTCCCCTACAGATCATCTCTTTTCAATGCACACAAGGCAAAAGGAAGCACCTACCCGCAAATAGAACCAGGAATAATGAGGTACAACAAGTAGACTTATCCTCCATTCTCATGCTCATCAATCACATACTTAGGTACATCCCAACAATCACTCATGCTCCACTCTCAACCATAAGTCAAACTGACCTAAACATAATCACTAACCTCAATCTCTGATTATAATCATGTTCCATAGCTCCTCAGGCTTGGTTCACGTCCATTCTTCATTAAATTCATCATTTTTCACCAAAATGCACTGCGATAATCGATCATTACTTAAGATAATAGATTATCTCAATTAAATTTACGCAGAAACATCACGCAGGAAGTGTAGAAAAAGTTATGTCAGTACTCTCAACCAAGAGGGGGTGAATTGGTTTTCTCCTTTAAAAAATTGTTCTTTAAAAACCTTTTTGAAATCTTTGAAGTTTTTTTGGAGTGCAAGTGTTGGATAATTCTTCTCATTTACCTTCAATTGACTAGATGCATACGCCACTAGTTTCTTTTCTTACATTAGTACACATTTGAGTCCTTGATATGACGCATCACAGTACACCTCATACTTTATCACTGTTTGGAATCACCAACACTAGAGCAAAGGTCAACTTCTTCTTCATCTCCTCAAAACTTCTCTCACATTTGTCTATCCAAACAAATGGCTGATCCTTATGAGTTAAATGCGTCAACGACCCCACAATCTTGGAGAATCCTTCCACAAACCTTCGATAATAATCTGTCAAACCCACGAAGCTTCTCACTTTTGTTACCGTAGTTACTCATTCCCATTTCAACATACCCTCAACCTTAGTTGGATCTACTACAATTCCTTGAGCGGAAATCACATGCCCCAATAACTAGACTTCCTCCAACCAGAACTCACACTTTAATTTCCAATACAATTGTTGTCCTCTTAAGATTTTCAACGCCATTCTCTGATGTTCAGCACGCTCCTCCCGATTCTTGGAATAGATGAGAATGTCGTCAATAAACACGATAACAAACTTATCAAGACACGACCTTAATATCCGATTCATGTAATCCATGAAAATTGCTACAACATCCGTCACGCCAAACAGCTTCACCATATACTCATAATGTCCATAGCGTGATCTGAAAGTTGTCTTCTACATGTCTTCCGATTTGACTAAGATCTGATGATACCAGGATCTTAAATCAATCTTAGAGAATACCCCGACACCCCTCAATTTATCAAGCAAATCGTTGATCCTTGGCAAAGGGTACTTATTTTATATCGTAACCTTGTTCAACTGTTGGTAATCTTCAAACAACCTTGAACTTCTGCCCTTCTTCTTTACAAGCAACATTGGAGCTCCCCACGATGATACACTTGGCCGAATAAACTTCTTTTCCAACATATCTTCTATCTATTTCTTTAGGTCTGCCAACTCAGTGGGAGTCATCTAGTAAGGTGCCATAGACATTGGTCTTGCTCTAGGCACCAAGTCTATTGCAAAGTCAACCTTTTGACTTGGTGGCAAACCTGATACTTCATTTGGAAACACATTAACAAACTCCTCCACCACCGGTATACCCACAATTTGCTCTTTTGTACTTTTCTTCTTTTCGTTTGTTGTCACAACAAAACACGCAGCTCCTTCCCGAATATCCTTCACTAACTCATGAGATGAAGTTGTCTGCATCTGTTCCTTCTCTAGAAAGATAACCTTCTGCTTACCACAATCAATGAGAATCCCATTGGTTGTCAGTCAATTCATTCCTAAAATTATGTCTAACCCTTCAAGTGGTAGACATACCAGATTAACTTTGCATTTGTGCCTTGTTACCTCTAACCGACACCCAACCCAAACTAAATTGGTTGAGACTTGCCCTGATGCTGATGTAGAAACTACTAACTCGCATACCAAATCAACCATAGGTAATCCAAGTTTCTCCAAACATTCAAGAGATATAAATCAATGTGTTGCACCCGAATCAAACAAAACATGCACACATTTATCATTCAAGTAACATGTGTCCAAAATTAAGTTACTTGATTCAAATTTTTTTGCTCCTGTTATGGCAAAGACTCATTCTATTGCTTTCGGCTTCCCTCAAGAGGACTTCTGAGTCTATTTCTCACTCCCTAGGTTCTTCTTCTTTGGACATACAACAACAAGATGTCTAGGATTCTGATGGACATAATACTTCCTCTCCTCAGGCTTCACACTAGTCAACTTTGGACAAAACCTCTTAGTATGAGGAATCTCACATTCATAGCACTTCACCCCTCCAAAGTGTCCTTGTTGTTCTTGTTGTGGTTTAGCATATGGCTTCTTCTAACGTTTGTCTCTAGAGAAATCACCCTTATGAGTCCTCATCACACGATTTTGATTCGCTTTCATCGACTCTACAGTCTTAGACTGTTCCACTATCTCTGTAAACGTCCTGATCTTCAGATGTACTATGAATCTCATCAGACTAAGACGTAAA